TTATCGAAGTTACCATTGGAACGTTCCCGGCGAGCCGAAACTGCTGGAGCGTCGGCACTTTAATGAGCCAATACCGAGTTGAAGCGTAGCTGCGATCAACCGAACTTGACGCATCGAAACGTCGACGCAGTCTGGCAGCCGCGTCCGGATCAGCAGGCTGGATACACCTAATAAATTTTCTGTTTACCCCGTGGATAAGGAACGCGCGATTCTTCTTGCCATTAAACCGGGACCAGTTAATGTTTCTCAACCTTTCTGAAAGCAAGGAGCTGCCTCGCGAACAAGGACTTTGAGGTGGTTATCTGAGAAGTGCGATATACGAATGAATGTGGATCCGCGGTTTCTCTATGACACCTCGTTTGATCGTATCGAGGAAGGAACTGCCCTAATTCCGTGTGTATTGAAGTTCATGCGGTTAAGTGATACTGTGTGTCGTCCTTTTTCTTTCCAATCTGTTTCCCTTGAGTGGGGTTACCAGTTCCTGAGATTTATATCCTTTTCCCTGGATTTATCTTGGATATTATAGGGAGTTTGGGCACCGTGAGTGCTGGGATTTGTGGGTTGCTCATGTCTTGAGGTAGGATTTCAGGGTAAAAGTTTAAAAACACCTGATGGCTTGAGTTTTATTAGAGGTGGTTAGGGGGAGGGGTGTTTATTGTTTTAGCTGACCAGTTTTAGGGTTTTGATTTTGTGTGTCGTCCCGCCGGTCTTCCTGGTTATATCCGCCTGTCCTTGGACAAGGATAGGAAGCAAGCCACACTGACACCAAAAAGGCGGGAGGAAAAACGCGCGTAAAAAAGGGCGCGAAAATTCCGGTAAAAGTGCCCGCGTGGCTGGCCAGAAAAACCCTGACTCGTGCGAATCTGACTGCCAGATACGTGAACTGACCGTAACCAGACTCGCACAGGCCTTGACGGGACGCAAGAAAGCGTACTCAGGTATGAACGAAATAAACTGCCTCGCTACAACTCGATTTACGCACACAACACATTGTTTCGGGAACTATCTCGGACCCTGTGTAGCCTGGATCCCTTACAGTAGATCCTCAGTCGCATAATATTCTTTTAAAAGAGTTATTCTCATTTTCAGACTATCGAAAAGATCAAAACCGAACACGTTGAATGTTGCAAGAATTCTTTCTAGAAATTGAAAAATTATCATACGCGGTTTTAATTGTTACAAAATTAAGAGAACAATTATGGGATATCTTGACTGTTAAGTTCATTCATTAGTAACCAATTTCTGCTCATTCTACGAGATTAATATCAGCGATGGAACTTCGGCAAAATCGTATCTTAGACCGAATTCCCATCGTCACTAAAATCAAAGAATCGATTAAATAATGAACTCTAGATGTCCAATGATTCTCCGAGTTCCAGGTCGCAAAGCAGACACCCCATCGCACGGGGGTGTCTGCTTTTGCTTCAGGCAAAAGTTGTAAGGTATAGAGGTAAACATATGGTGGTTATATTTTTTTTACGTGATGCAGATATCAAGAAGTTTTTTCAATGACAATGGATATTTCGCGTTTCAATTCAAAGGTCGTATAAACAGAGAAACAGAATTTATTCCCAGAAAATTTGCATTTTTTAAATGAAAATCTGTATAGCAGGGAGTACTTAGCAACACATTGGTAACCTTAACACTAGAACTATCGATCAGTAAAATTGAATTTTCGAAATTTTTCTATAGAAACTGCGTCAGTGGCACTATTGAAATTTCTATTAATTTACAATTCAGTTTGCCTATCGCTAAATCAATTTCCATAGTAATTTCTCCGCGAATTATCTGTGATGTCTGTATTAATTGTAAAAAGAAGGAATCAGGAATGGGTCATTTCGATCTCTCTGGTAGTTCTAGTGTTAAATTTTCGTAATGTGAATAGTAAAATTTAGGAATTTCGTCCACAGGCGGCCGCACTGTGCGTCGTCGCTCAAAGAAGCGCAAATCCGAGCAACCCGTACGCTTTCACAGTTGTTCCGCGTCGCGTCGTGTTGGTTCGGAACTTCGGGTCTCTCGAGCCGCTGGGAGGAACTGGTTTAGTATACCGTGCACTCGAAGCTTCGGAAAATCGAAGACGAGAGAACGACCGACCAACGAACCGCCTCTGTTCGTTATCGGAGCCGGAAAGAGGAACAGGGTCGAGCCACAAGTGGGCTGCGGCGCGAAATCAGGCCGCGGCTGGCGCGGAATTGGTCTTCTCGCGCGCGGCTCGGCCCAGGGAGGTTTACGAAGCACTCGACCAGGCTGGTGTCGGGCCAGAGCCGGCCCACTCGAACCGCGCGATCAAAGGGTGCATTCATAATCTGTAGCGCGCCGCGGTTTCGCGAGCTGCTTCGCCGATGCCCGCGCGCCCCTGCCGCTCACGCTTTCGTAAACACACGACCGAGCAGTTAACCCCTTGTCACACGATTATCTTTGTGACCATGGCTGTCGGATTTATTTTATTATTTAACCTTTGCAATCGAAAGCTTTTCCTTGGGAATATTCAACATTCTCCGGTGAGACATAGACGATATTCAGTGAAGCTAACTAATGAGAAGACATAAATTATTGTTTTACTTGAATATTTCATATCAATTTATTATACAATGTTTAATGGTATATGTAAGATATTGTAATTTTTGTGTATCACATCAAGTGGTAACTGAGAGTTACCTTTTGAGTGTAAAGGTTTAATCCTTTGCACTTCGAGATTCTTTTCCATGCAAACGTCCATTATTTTTTAATGAAATATCGCTACAATTTGTATTGTTTAATGTATAGAGCTTTCGGAAATTGAGGAACAGTAAGCAAATACCTATTATTTCTGTCCATTTTTAGTTATTCACGTATATTTCACGTATTTTTACCAGAAAAATATCTTCGTATACTGAACATTACGTTTATTTATTTAGACAATGTTTTGTCGCTTAGTATTACTGGTTTTATTTTGATCCACACGCGACGGATAATATTCATTTTTAATAAACCGAGTTGGATATTTTCACCGTTAGTAAGAGGCTAGAACGGCGAATCTTCATGGATTCTTGGATGAGGAACGCGTCGATGAAAGACTCGAGAATCCGCGCACTGCGGAAAATTGCGAGCCCCTGGCTAAGATCGGAGAGAGCCGAGGTTCGGCGGAGCCGTTGATGCGCCGCTCGTTACGCGTTGTTACCCACGTTACGACCGTATTATCTTATCGGTGTTTACGAGACCGTCGGAGACGTGCAACGCCCTCGCGGCGAGGAATCACTGGCTCGGACGGCTTGTTCTTGTAAATTGTGTAATCTTTATAAGCCAGGTTTATGCTCACATTAACAACCCCTTGATTCGACGACGATGATGGTTTCTTTTGTGATTTTGTTTGGCAGAATTATATTGAAGATTCCTTTGCCGAGCAACGTTCGGTAAGCGAGAAGGAACTGTAATTTTCCTGTAAGTTTATAGTTACTTCGAACAGCATTCGGTAAGTGAGAAGGAATTGTAATTTTCCTGTAAGTTTATAGTTACTTTGAACAGCATTCGGTAAGTGAGAAGGAATTGTAATTTTCCTGTAAGTTTATAGTTACCTTGAACATCGATTACACAAGAGCAGCGATTACAGAAAAGTGACACTGAATTTTAACTGCGAGAGAACCAACTATATTCGCGTTCGATGAACTGAATTGGAAATTTTTCTTGAGTATTTCATTTTTATTAACCCTTTGCGCTCGGAAGTTTTTCACCAGAAATATTCAACGCTTTCCGAAGAGATATAGACACTATTTGAAACGAAGTAATGAGAAAACATACGTAAATTAAGAAACAAAGTTGTTTTATGTAAATGTTTCACATATTGATGCATTATACGAAACTTAATATTATATATAACACTTTGTAATTTTGTTATATCGAATCAAATGCTGACTGAGAGTCACATCTCGAGTGCAAAGGATTAAATGGAACAAAATTGAATCGATTCTGGATTGATTTAATATCTTATATTTTTGATAATATTCATAATTCTAGAAAACAACAATCATCATTGCTGCTTCTTCTTATTCTTTTCATCCTCCGTCAAGATTCTTCTTGACTAACCCCTTCGTTACCTGGAACCCTTCTTCATACCTTCTAATCACCTTTGACTCACTCTTACTGTTTGCCTTGTATCTTTGACCTTTTGTACGGGTACTGACCCTCATTGAACCCTCTTGCTACACATGAACCGTTCTTAACCAACCTCGACACACCTCCACCCCTTTCTAGCGTTCTTAACACTTCTTCATGCGACCCCTCTTCTGTATCTGAACAGTGTCGACACTATTGACACCCCTTGCGTATACCCGTCTCACGTGACCCTCTTGACACCATTCCTTCAAACATCCTCAAGCTTCTAATCTCACGCATAGATAAAAATTCTAATACAAATTTAATACTGACATAATGTCACATATAAAAAGGAACAAACGTGATGCATTGGCGTGACGCGACACAAAAAAATTTAGGGAAAACGATCTTTGCTTAGTCAACTTTCAGCGTACAACACACAATAGTAAATCAATTTCTTTCACATATTATGAATCTGTCCTTGCAAAAGACCCAGCTCTAAATACAGGATTCCAAATCTATCTACTTTATACCGACATTTCAGTATCACCGAAACTATTTTCAAACCGATCGGTAATTCGATAAGCACGTATGGCATAATCGACCATTTAAAATCAATTCACCTTCCATCAAATCCCCGCTTACCGAGGGTCTCCTTTGAAATCTGGCAATCGGAGCCGCAGGGTCAGCAAGGTCACGGGATGAACGCTGCTTTCAAGTTAATTGAGCGTAATAAGTATCAACCGCCGAATACTGCTCGAGAGCATAACATTTTTCGCTCGTAAAGTTTTATGGTCGTCGTTCGAGGTGCTCCTCGGTGTCCGGGATCACGCGGGATTGCTCGAAACGTCGATCGGGGAGCTTCCACGCGTCGTTAGAACGTCGCGGGACAAGTTGTAATCAATCTGCAAAATTGTCAGGCTACTCACCCCGTAGTATGTAATTTTGGTAATTTTGGTCGGCCTCGCTGCCAACCTTGATGAGGCAGGCGAGCCCGTCATTTTGCACAAACTCGTGCACCAGGTCCTTGTCCTCCTGCAACATCAAAGTTTATGGTAAACAGCGCGCGGCCAGATAGACGTGGCGGCGTCTCGTGCCTAATTTATTCCGGGAGGCCGGATCGGTTTACTAATCGACAGATTGTACCGTTTCCCGAATTCATGACAACGTCCGCGATTTGAAATGCTAAAACACTTCACGGCTCCGTCGGTGCACGCGATCGATGGAAATTATGCCGATCGCCGAGCTGAACACCGACGAATCGGGATCTTTTAACATTAGTGCGTTAGCTGCTACTAGAATTTGTAAAGTTCTGTATATTAGGTTGGCCAAGAGGTCTTGCTTTTCTCTTTAATGCGACATTGATATTGCAATGTACGAATGAATATTATAATATTGAACTAACACATGCATAGTTCAATAAAGAAGAATTTCACCACGATAAAGTAATTTTTCCTCAATTTTCACTTATACAAACTTTTTGGCTAACGTACTAATATTACCTGTTCTTTGAAACTATTATTACAAAGGATTTCGTTGAATAAAAAATGTCAGGTCAACGAATAACGTAATTTAAATTCTATCTCTCACATCTCTGTGAATTATTTTATGAAATATAATTCCGAAGAAAGATTCACGTCCAATCCGCATAACAAAGAACAGTAAAATCCCGACAAACATTAGAAAATCACGAATTCAGAGTGACACTAATTATGTGTATTCTAAATTTTCGATAAAGCCAAAATCCTCAACAGATTCTCCGTCTCGTTATAATACAAAGCTACATTTAAATGGTATCCGACAGAAATATGAATGCCGAAACATATCCACGGTGCCTAGTTCCAAAAGAGTAACCAAACTCTCGTGTCTCGAAAAGGTCTCGTTTCCCTAACAATCCAATTATTTCTGATCTCTCTCGTTTCGGGCTCTCACGGATCCCCGACGCCGAAAAAAAAAGAAAGAAAGAAAACAAGCACCAGGAACGTTTCGAATGGAACGTGTCCCAACGAGGCGCGTTTAGCGGAAACAAGGGAAAAGCCGATTAAGGCAGCGAGATGATCGGTTCTCGACGTTCCGATGGAAACGGAACGGAGATAGGAAGAACGGGGCCGCCTGATATCCGATCCCGGAGGAGATTTATCTCGACGTCTCCGCCTAAGCCAGGCCGGGGGCCGGACGAGGTAAATGGAATTAGTTAGGCCGGCGCGGGCGCGAAGTCGCGGACATAATGGAAAATCTACCAAGTTTGATTAAACCGGCTCGCTCCCAGGCGCACCGCGGCTGGCGTCTACGCGCTCCCCGTTAAAACCGGAAACGTTGCGCGATATTGCCTGGACTGACTGGACTGCGGCCCGCGAGACCGGAGGTTTATCTAAATCTTGAAATCTGATTTCATTCTCATCGATTGGATAAATAACATTTCGTGTATTGGTAGTTGTGTATAGCGTAAAACGTGAATGAACTCTTGCAAAAAAGATTTTAAGAGTTAATGTTGGAAAATTGAAAAATTGGAGAAGGTAAGAATTAAAAAATTGAAGAATTGAAGAACTGAAGAATTGAAAACTTGAAAGATTTAAACACTGAAACATTGAAAGATTGGAAAACTGAAAAATTGAATCATTGGAAAATTTAAAAATTAATTTTCTTAGTAATGGAAAAACCTTGAACTTTCAGGCAAGGAAATTGTTTCGACTTCATAAGATTTAAAAGTATTAATGTTTGGTGTTTGTTAAGCTTGGAATTACTGTATAGAAAAAAACATTGCGACAGACACGATCATCGATTGACTATTAATAGGCGTCAGGTAGGCGAAGTGTTAAGCAATAATGCCGAGGAATCGAAGATTGCATCGGAGATGCCTCGATGATAAATCCCGAACGACCCACGGGAAGAAACTTCGTTCAGGGAAAGACCAAGGCGTTGCCGTTCTCGAAAGAGAACGAGGGACCTGGTTTGTAATTAATTTCGCAGCAAGTTAGCTTGATAATTGAAACGATAAAGGCTTGTTCGGGAGAACGAATTTCAGGACTGTTTTCATTGGACCTTCAGATCAGAGGAATATGCAAATCGCATACATTACATTTATTACTCGAGCATTGCACGTGGACAAATCTTCTGCTAAAGCGAAAACAAAAATTTCAAAATAAAAGCATCAAAATCGTGAAAAGTAAAATAAAGAAAAAACAGTAAATAGAAATAATATAATAAAGAATTCTTTAATGGAAAAATGTTCCTGTAGAAGCCAATGCAGAGAATAATTAGAAGAGGAATGTAAATCGAAGCTTTATCGAGCGTTAAAGTTTAATTAGAACTATCAGGCCTCGCGCTAATTGATAGTTCGAACGGACACAATTCTAACGAACGTAGTATTTATTTGAAATTCCTAACCGACGAAACAATTACGACAGATTAAACTCACAGTAGATTATCGAGAATCGCGAACCGGACCCATTCATCACAATTCTAATATAATTCTGTAATAAACTCATCCATCACTTACAAGAGGCGATAGTTTCCGGTCTAATGGGATTTCTTTCGCTGAGGAGTTTTCAACTTCGAACACCACGGGGAAGGAATCCTTCTCGGTCGGCTAATTGTGAGATTTAATTGTAGGAGAGAAAAAGAGTTAAGGAAGTCGGGGTTCGAATAAACACGCTCCTCCAGAGTTTACTCTTCCTTCCGGAAGTAACGGAAGGAAAGTTGAAATGGATTACATCCGTGAATCGAATTCATTCTGCTTTCGGTTGCAAACTTGACACCGATCGATTAAAGGGTATCGGAACTAGTCACGTAAAGTTCCATTTCTTCTCGCAAGAATTTCGTCTCACGCTAGTAAGAAACTGTCAAACAGTGAATCACAACGGCGATCCAGGTAAACTTACGCTAAAATCCTATACCCTAAGACAACAATAGGAAAAGGAAATCCTACGGCACTGACGCTTATAATTTTCCACGAAAACCCTCCAATCAATCTCCCCAATATTTCCCTTGCAACCGACGAAAAACAAAATCCTTCGATAAGCTTGAATTCTCGCGCAAAGACGCACACACGGATTACAGGAGTATCGCGTCTGTATGTACACGGGCCACGGGTATTCTCAGCTGTTGGGCACAATGCCGGCGAAAATTATTGGAATGCGACGTGCATGCTTCGCGCCGACGAATAACGAATTTGCGAGACAAAGGGCTGCGGTTATCGGTGTACGGCGGGATAGAAAGGGACGAGGCGAGGAAAAGAGGGAGCCGGCGAC